GAACTTATAAGTATCATAAGTTAGAAAACTGTTTATTTCTGTAATATTGAATCAAATACTTTTGCCTACACCCAGTTCAAAATCTATTTTATTTTATAATGTAATATTTCTACAACCTGCCATAGAAAATCATAACTGATTTAAAGAAGAGAAAGCATAAGTGATTTGAAACTTTTGAAATTTTCTCCACACATCTGTTGCATCTAAAGCACTTCTTTTTAATTTGTGATATGTGATATGTTTTTTTTTTTCATGGAAAAACTTTTCTATTTATTTATTTTTCGCTCTAATACTCTTTTTTAGTCAATAACTAAAAATAGAAAAAATTTTATAGTAAAAAGGGTGAAATACAAATCATTTCCATAACTAAAATAAAAATATCAAATAAATTTTAAAATTGAAAATAAAAACAAAACACTGACACATAAATAAACTAAAATGCGTGTATGTTTTTGTTTTTAGTTTATTTGGCCACAAAATTATTATTTATACTTATAAATGAAATGCCTAAATGTTGGGGAAACAAAATCCCTCAAAATTATATTTAAGACATTATGTGCGTGTGCTAGCTGGTTGTAATATATTTAAGCCAACTGTCAATGCAACAGACATACTGTTGCGTTGGAGTAGAATTTGTTTGGCTGATTGAAAAAGCTAAAGGCAAAAAGTAAAATATAAACATGTGCAAAAGTTACAGTAATAGTTATTTTTAGTTTACAAAGAAAATCACAAAAAAAAATTTAAAATAAATAATTTTAACTTTAAATTAAATTTACCTTTTAAAAATTATTTATATATTTTCTTACATTTAGTGTCTAGTCTTTTAATGTCTTTAATAAATATTTACCATAAACATTATATGACCCTGTGGGTATTTTGTTTTCCATATGTTTTTTTTTTTTACATGACAATGCGGTCAAGTTATTTGTTTGCTGAATCTTTTACATGTTCGTTTATTGTTTTGCAGCAAAAGTTCATTGTCAACCTCTGAAGTTTAAGGGCCACAAATATTTATTCCCCAAAGAATTCCTTTTCTTTTTATTTCGATATAGTAGTTTTTGTTGTTATTGTTAGTTTTTTTTCAGTTTATTTTTTTTCTGTAGGCTTTTATGCACAGCTATAAATGCGGTAGAAATGCGTTCATTGACCAAACAATTTTCTTTTGTCTTTACATTGTTTATAATATATGTATATATAAACTTATATTTACATACATACATTAGGAAATTTTAATTTTGTATTAATCTTGAATGTAATGTTTACAGAAATATGATATCGAAATTTTAATATGTTGCGGAAACCCAAAGACTGAGGATCTTATTCATAAACTTTTATCAAAGCTATATAAATCAAATTTTCATACACAATTGGTCTATAAACCTTTGATAAATGAACATTTTATGAAACATTGACATTGTTTTATGAGCTACCCTAATAATGTACGTACATGTTTTGGTTCAAAAGAATGCACCAAATTACGCACATTTCTACACTTACACTCATGCAAAAACCATGTTACATGTTAGCCCGCCTTATCCTATATATTATAGATTTTATTAAACACTGTCATTTCCGGTAATGAGCTGAGAGTGCAATATTTTATAATGGAATATATACGAGGAATAATTATTATACTTGCTGTTGTCAGTATGGTAAAAATGACTTCCTTTTCCTATGGGCATTTGATATTGCATCAATTGTATTTTGTAAACAAAATTATACTTTATTGATGTGCATCTTTTTATAATCTTGTTGTTGTGTGTAAAAAATCTACATATGTTCCTTTAGTTTGATTTAAAGTATTTCTCAAACTGAGGATATTCCAAAGGATATAAGTTTCTTTAAGATTAAAGGGAAGCTGGAATAAGCTGTGAAATTTATATAATTTATAGGTCCATGTTAAAACGTCCATGGCTTGTTTAAGTTAGTGGCTTGTTTAAGTTAGGGACATAATATTGCAACATCAATGATTCCACTGTATATCACACATACATATGTAAAATCCTGGTATTGAGTTGTACTTACTCAATGACAATTACATACCGTCTGCATTACCTATAATGAGTCTAGTAATGACTTACTTTTTGTCTGATAAATTAGTACTTATTTTCGGCTTTGTCATTTTATTTGACCGCGGGTTAACAACTGTGTTTTTATATGATTTTATAAGTGAAAACCATTAACACTTTCACGCACAAAATTAAAACGCTGGACTTTTTATGGATATAAGTTCACTACACACTTTATTTTGATTGTATATTGCTCATTTTTGATGAAAAATGGAAAAACTGTTCTCAAAGGATATTGCAAGGATATTATTCTTTTTAGCATGCACTGCCATCAAATTCTCAAAAAGTATTTAGTTTTCTTTGGAAAATTTAAAAAAAAATCTTGGGACACCGGTGTCCCGTATACGTGATAGTGTTAAGCAGTCAGTGGTGCAGTGAGAACAACAGTTGATTAACAACCACGAAATCTCTGGTTCGTATTCTCGTTGACTCTCGGTTCTTCTTTACATTAACACTAGTAAAAGTGTAGACGTTTCTTGGACGACAGGATCTAAGACTCTGAAAAGTTTAACAGCAGTTCCCAGGGTGGTCCAAAGAAACAAGTATGTTTTAGATCAACACTGATTTGAAGTATTGACTAACCTCCTAAACTGCATGAATCGCTTTGAGAATGAACAATGTTGAGAAATATTGCAAATAAATTTACAAATAATAATAATTTACCTGAAACGATTCCTTCAAACAATTCAAGTAATAGAACCAGATACATATCATCAGCGAAGTTTAGGAAAATTTAACCAACAAGAAAGCTGCTGCAAAGCCAAACGCAGCAGCCAAATAATAGTGTTCAAAAAAGTTCAACTTAATCTACATAGACAATGAGAATCCTTACAGAACTGCTGATAGAGATAGGCATCTTTTTGCCACCCCGCCATATCTCTCCATTCATATTGTCATTCGAAACACAGTATTATAATAAAACGATTTCAAATTACAATTTTAAATTATTGTTTAATAAACTAAAAATATTAGTATTGTATGCACGTTCTCTTTTTCTCAATAAAAGTCTTTATTGTTAAATGTTTTTTTTTTTTCACATTTAAATTCATTCTCGCATTGAATTCGACCAACATATGTCACATATCAATTTCTTGATATGTGTGTTCTGATAATGATGTTGATTGCTGATGGAGATGATGATGATGTCTTATTACAGTTGCGACAGCATTCTAACAACAACAATAATAATAATAGTTTGTCATAACAAACAGTTTCCTAGTAAACACTGGAAAATATGAACATATGCATGTTATTAATATGTCATTTTGAATAGTAACAGTGTCGTGATTTTTTTCGCCACAATATTGAGCGATTTGTTATTCTGTAAATGGAAAGAAATGGAAGGATACTTTTGTAGATATATGTATTTTTTTAGATTTCCTTGATATCGTTGTTTGTCAATTTGAAATCTTAATATGTATTTTAAAAAGTCTAGGCATGACCGTGTCATAATGTTTGATGGAATGACAGAAGCGTGTAAACAATGTGGGGGCTAACATCTTTCAAAGGATATATAATGAAAATAAAATGATCTCCTTATTTAAACTTCCGTGGTGGCCATGCACCATTTCAAAATATTGGTGGTTGACTCCAAAAATTATTGCACATTAATGCTCGGTCCAAACTCTATGTGTTTTTCTGGCGGTTGATAAAATGACAAAGTCTCAAATAGTTGTTATTAAGAATCGATTTTAAGAATAAGGTAAAAAAAACTTATATCATTAGAACTAATACCCCCCACTTGATGAACCTACATACATAATAGAATGGATTGGCGAAATAAAGTTGTAAAACTGTGGATATATTAAGAACCTTAGTTGCTTGATTAATATAACAAGAGAATATCCGAATTCTTCTTTATATGATACATTCGTAAATGATATACAGCAACCAACTCTATGAGAAACACATCTTATATGGAAAATCTTCAAGTACTACTTGAAATATTGCCATGTACTTAATTTAGAGATCGTGGTCCTAGAGAAAAGGATACTAACGAAGTGGTGATTCTATAACTGATGCTAATTTTTAAATATAACATGAACTTGTATGAACTCGTAGGACTGTAACGCTGTAACACTTTTCATAACATTCCGAAACTTTTCCCTATCCTTCTACGAACCCGTTCCTGTACCCATATCCGTCTTATATTCATATTCATATCCATGTCCATTTTCCACTTTTCTATCAACAATAAACACAAAATGTTTCTTAGTATTAGTAGTGTATATCCCGCCATTACTACAAGTGTATGGCATTGTTTGAATATTGTCACATACAAATACATTAGCAACTGTGACAATTCGTGTGGCAAACAATAATACAAACAAATATTGAACATTAACAACAAATTTAAACGAAACAAAACGATACACTAGCAGACAACCATCAGCTAAAGTAAAGACAATACAGTAGCAGCAGCAGCAGCAGCAAGCACTCTCTTAGCCACAAAAGTGTTAAAATGTTGTATAAACTTTAGATGGCAGACAAAGGAAAACAAAAACATTGACTTCTTACTACTCACTAACCAGAACTGCACATTTGGCCGGCACAAAACCCAACAGCATCATTTACATGGTAAACGCATAACAAACCGGAAGTTATGTTGTGAACGTCGGCTATAACGGCGAGTAACAGACGGCAAATAAAAAAAATTCTAAAGTTCTCAAAAAGTGCTGCCAAGTTTTGAAGAATCTCAAAACTTAAGAGATCACAAAGAATAGAAAAATTATGAAAATAAAGGCATGTTTTACATTCAAGAAATGGGAAACTAATTAATATTTATAAAAGCAAAGAGGGAAAACTCAATTTTCCAACACACTTGCACACAAACAACAAGAAAAACATCAGAGAGTTTTCTTCTGTTTTGGCCAACCAAACTGAGATGCTAGAACTGAACACTAAACGGTGATAGTCTTTATTTTGGCGGCATTGTGTACGGGCGTCTGGTCTTTCGAACTAGTACGGTTATTATATTTGTTTGTTGTTCCGATATTTTATTTTTTCGGTTCTGTTTTTCTTCGCTCGGTTCTGGCTTCATGAAGTAAAGTGGACCAAATTTCAAAAATAAAATAAAAAAACTTTATGTTCAAGTTGTGTGTTGGCGTATGTTGTGTATTTTATGTATGAAGTGAAATGAAATGAAAAAAGAAATTATAAATAATGAAAAAGTCTTGCATACGTTTTTTTTAAGTTTTTTTACGAGAAATTAACAGAAGGAAAATAAAATAATAATAGAAAAAGAAAACTACCTACTAATAGGCCAGACGCAAAGGGTGTGTGCGTGATTGCGTGTGTTGCGTTCATTCGAAAGTGTGCGTGAGTGACTGCGTATGTGTATACGTTACATGCAGAGTTGATCGTGAAATTTTTGTTTTCATAATTATAAACAAAAAAAATCTATATAAAAAGAAGCGATCTTTAACAATTTGTTTTTATATTCTACGATTTATACATGACGTGCCTTTTACGAGATCAATATGTGGTCGTACAATTTTCAATCTATTTCGTTTGAAAATTTCAATGATTTAAAACAAAAATCACATTCTTTGAGTATGCGATAAAAGGAAATGTGAAAAAAATTGTGTAAGAAGTTCTGTTTTCAACGAAAATGCATTAAATTTTATGAAAAAAGTTAGAGAGAAGAAAATTTTATGTTTTGTTGTGAAAAATGTTTTGAGTTGGTGGAATTAACCCTAAAATGTAACAGAGGGTTGTATAAACGTATAAAGTTATTTTTTTAATTTAGTTGAATAAATCAATTGTGGTTACTCACTCTAACAAATTTGACATAATTAAAAAGTTTTCTGTTCAGCTCAGAATTACCTGAGCCGATTTAGCAATGTCCGTCCGTCCGTCTGAGTTTGCACTGTTTAAATGTTATTTTAAATTGGTTTAAATCGGATTATTATTTTATCAAACCCCATAAAACTATTATAGGAAAGTGAGCATTTTGGAAATATATTTTATAAATATTTGAAATTTCATTTGTAAAAGTCTAGTTTTATTCAAACTGTTATCTTTTGAAAATTATATAAACTTAAAGAATTCTTAAAAAATCTGGTTAAAACTGCCCACATCGTGCTAATGTCGCACAAATATATAGAAATCATAAAAGTGGAAGTCCAGTATTAGACAATCAGAGTTAAATTCGCTGTTTATGATGATTTCCAGTGTTTGCATTTAGAAAAGCCTTTTAATTTTTTGCTTTTTTAAAGCTATTTTTTGCTGAAATTCTAACATAAAATAATTTCAAAAAATTTTGAAATTTTACACTTTCCAAAGTTATATTATACAAACGAATTCTTTGGCATTGATAAAATTTAATGGTTATTATATCATATTTTCAGACAACAAATATTTTAAGTAAAATTCACTTAAAAACTCAATGCCCCTAGAAACTGCAACAGACGCGCACAGCAAGCAGCAGCAACTATTAAACTTATACAAAATTTTAAATTGGTTGTGTTCTGTTTAATAACAATTCACAATTGATATTTCAGAAAAACCAAAAGAAAAAAAAATAAGAAAAACACAAAAAGTAGAATATTTTTATTACAAAATACGATATTTTTAAAAATAAAATAAACCCAAAAAAATCTAACGAAAACAAAAACAAAAAACTTAAAACTTGCAGTCAACTGGAAAATGCATATAGAAAGTTAAAAAATTCATAAATGAAATATTCTTTATATGTATGTATTTAATTGCTGAATTTATTTTCTTCAAAGAAGTAAAAAAAAACTTAAAATAAAGTACATATTTTGAAAAATATATGTATAATTCTTAAAATTTTCATTAAATTATTTGCTTTTCTTTTTGGCTAGATATACTCTTGTCCATAAGTATGGTAATAAACACACACTTCATATTTAAATATGACTAATGGTTTATTCCTGACAACTTTTTTAAATGAAGAAAAAATCCCATGATGTACATCACCATCATCATTTTCTGCTCCATATTTATCTTTATAAATTCGCATATGTGTGTATGGATCTTTTATTTTAGAGACAAAAGTTGATTAAGAAAAATATGAAAATTGAAAATTTGTTTATTTTTACAATATGAACCAATTTATCAACAATTTTGTTAATAAACCCTGTTATTAAGTGGGTTGAAAACATTAAAAACAATATTATCAATTTATTAATAAATATTCACACCTTTTACCAATTAAATAAACAAAATAAAATATGTATTTCATTCATCTACCCAATTGGAAATGGTAGAAAAGATTTGGTTTTCAATTGAAATAAAGTTATAGAAATCGATAAAATCATAAAATCCTATACATATATAGTGAGATTGATTTGTCATTTACAATGAAGTCGAGAGTTTAACGTGAACACCTGCCTTGACGGCCTAATTTCACGGTGGTCTTTTTCACCCACTGGGTAGACTAGAGACGGTCTACCAGCGCCCCTGAATTCTTCAATGAAGAACTCAGGTAGCAATTTTTGTACATGGCTGAGCCGGTCCATGTACAAGTACTTTGTTAAAGAACTCGAGCTATCTAATCTCTTGCCATAGTAGCCCCGTTGCGGAATGACAGGCAGCATGGGATCAATCCCAATGCAAACCCCGACAAGGAAAAAGCAATCACTGGTCTAAAGTCAATAGAAGGGGGTGACTAGTCCCAACATCAGGTGAAATCAATCTTCCGGTAAGCCGGAAGGTGACCACCCTATGATGTCATGGAAGATTGCATTATTCAAAATGCAATCCCCATCATCTAATGACCCATTCCAGTGCATTCCTTAACCTCTTTAAGCCCGCGCAACCACACTACTGAGATGGCCCTGTTGGTTTGGCAACAGCACCTAGAGACATATTTGGTAGTCCGAAATACCCAACAAAATGGATCAGGATCCCTCTTTTATGAACCGATCAATGTAACAAAGGAAATAGGAATTTCCAAAGTCAATTGATTCCAATAATTGCCCCGACAAATTAGTCGCGTAGAATGTATCAATATATCCTGTTGAGATGGCAACAGCACCGAAGAACTTCCCCGAAGCGTAAAAAGGCATACTAAATCAGTACTAATCTCCAATATATGGAGACTTTCCCGATCTTTCACCAATTTCCGCATCAGTTCCATTCCCATGATCATAAAGATCGCTCGACGGGATGACAGGCAACCATTGAATACTAACCTGACAATTCCCCAGCATATACCGGCGTCCCACTACACGACCGGTAAGAAATACCGATCGGGTTTAGGAATCCAGCATATGCTGCTTTGTATACAGACCTGTTCGAAGAGAGAATTATCCAACCCATTAGGTATAGGATATATCAGTCCTTAAACCAACATTCTCTCCCCGCGATTTGGGTTTCAACCACAGCCACTACGTGGATCCCGAAGGAACCTCAACCAATTGACCGGCCAGGACTAGGTCCTGTGGGCAACCGGCCACCCGTAGTGCCAGATTATATGGTACTCTGGTTAGACCCCATGCCAAATCATTCCGAGGCGAAGCCAAGGATACATTTGACATCACCAGTTTATAGTCCCGGCAGACTAGAGATACTGGTAGCATCTCTTTACCCCGGGATTGCAATACACCATGATGGACATTTCATCATGGAAACATGCCCCGGGGGGGATTTGTCATTTACAATTCTAGTTAATTTTTTTCTTAAAAAAAGGTCAGCTTAGATAGAGATTCCTAACAGAGAGCGTAGATCTGTAAGAAACAAACGTCGCCTATATACGGGTCCAGACATCTTCGGTAAATAACATATTATTTTGTAACAAAGCCATTCGTACAGTATTTTTAATTATTCAGATCGTGTCACAAAAAGAATTGTATAGTAACATATAGTCTGGGCTATAGATTTATAAAATGTGGATAATAGATTTATCTGTATTATAGAATAGTCCATAGTTTGTGATATAAAGTAATTTAAAGTCAAGATTGTAGACTAATCTGGGCTATAGACTAAAATAAAGTTTGGATTCAAAGCCACTTTATAATATGGATTATATAGTAATTTGTAGTATGGAATCTAGACTAATAAAAAGTAATATATAGTCTGAATTTTTGATTAATTTATATATATTTATTTATTAATAGTCTGATCTAGAGTCTAGACTATATAATCAATTCCTTACGATAGAATAATCTATAATATGAATTTCACTAATCTAGGGTCCAGACCATAGACTAGTATAAAGTCCACACTATAAACTAATCTATAGACTATACTATAGACTAATCAATAGTCTGGACTTTAAACTAGTCAATAATCTGGATATTAGAATAACCTATAGTCCGAACTTTCATGTAATCTATAGTCGGAATTATAGACTAATCCACAGTTGGACTAATCTATAAACTACTATAGTCTAGACTATAGACTAAACTACATATATTCTGGTCTATAGACTAATCTATAATATGGACTATAGACTAGCCTATAGTATAGACTATAGACTACTCTACAGTCTGGACTATAGACGAATATATAGTCCAGACTTTAGACGAATTTATAATCTGAACTGTATTTATAGTCTGGTCTATAGACTACTCTACAGTCTGGACTACAGATGAATCTATAGTCTGGATTATAGAATAATCTATAGTCTGAACTTTGAAGGAATCTATATTCGGCATTATAGACTAATCTACAGTTTTACTAATATATAAACTACTATAGTCTAGACTATAGACTAAACTATATTTTGGTCTATAGACAAGTCTATAATTTGGACTATAGACTAGCCTATAGTATGAACTATAGACTACTCTACAGTCTGGACTATAGACGAATCTATAGTCTAAACTATAGACGAATCTATAGTCTAAACTATAGACGAATCTATAGTCTAAACTATAGACGAATCTATAGTCTGGAGTATAGACTACTCTACAGTCTAGCCTATAGACGAATTTATAGTCTGAACTATAGATAAATCTATAGTCTGGACTATAGACGTAGTCTGGACTATAGACGAATCTATAGTGTGGACTATAGACAAATCTATAGTCTGGGCTATAGACAAATATAGAGTCTAGACTATAGACGAATTTGTAATCTAGTTTGGTTATAGACTACTCTACATTCTGGACTATAGACGAATCTATAGTCTGGACTATAGAAGAACCTGTAGCCTCGTCTATAGATGAATCTATAGTCTTGACTGTAGACGAATATATAGTCTAGACTATAAACGAATTTATAATCTGGACTATAGACGAATCTATAGTCTGTACTATAGACCAATCTATAGGCTGGACTATAGAAGAATCCATAATCTCGACTATAATGGAATCTATAGTCTCGACTATAGACTAATCTATAGTCTGGACTATAGACTTATTTATAATCTGGACTATAGACGAATCTATAGTCGGGATTATAGACGAATCAATAATCTGTATTATAGGATTATATACTGTAATCGGGTCTAAAGACTATAAACAAATTTGAAATTTGGAATAAAGACCAAACTATAACCCGGCCTATAATCAACACTATAAAATAACCTATATATGGCCATATATCCTTTAATAAGTAAAGGTCCTAACAACATACATCGATCCTGAACTAGTTTCCGTTTTTAAATAAACGAAAAAACAAACAAAATGTATATCACATCAATATATTTTTATTAATATTCACATTTGCGAAAAAAATAATAAATTGAATTATCGCCATACAGGTATCCAACTGAAATTTAGACTTATTAAATTAATAAAACACCTGTTAAATGTTTAGAATAAAATAAATTAATTAACATTATTAACTAAAATGTTTTTCTTTTAATATTAAAAATTTTGTATCAAAAAACTTCTTTAGAGATTTTTCATTTTCAACATATTTATGTTTAGCTGTATGTGGGTGTGTGTATGTGTATTTTAATTTAAACAATATTTTAATTGAAAACATTGACTTCGAACAGAAATATTTTAATTTGTATACAAGAAAGTATAAATATAAATGGATTTGTATACAATATAGACGGGTGATCATAATGATAAGAAAATAGTAATTTTGGGAATACGCTACGTATGTATTAGATCAATATGTTTCGTATGTATTTTAACAATTTGGTTACAAATAATAGCAACTTCGATAGAAAAGTAGTTACATAATTGAAAATCTAATTTTGTATATTTATGCTATTTATTTTACCTAAGCTGTATCTTGTATCTTAAAGTATGATTGCGTATCTATATCATTTTGAAAATTCATTCATTGGTATTGAAATCTTTGAAATTTATTTACTCGACGGGAGTGAGTTGTACATTTTTTTCACCACTACTACAGCTTTTTAGTTTATTTAGATTTTACTTTTTTGTTTATTGAATTTTTCTCTCTTTAGTTTAAAAATATTTGGAATCCTATTTTTTAAGAAATTAAGCAAAGAAAAATTCTTTAAAAAATCTATTTTTGGTTATCCCACTGTTTTGGTACATAGTACAATAACAACAATAACAAAACAGAAATTGGTATTAAATATAAATTTATAAACTTTGTACAAATTTATTACGATTCTTTGCGATTTGTAAATTATGTGTAAATTACGATCAAAGTTAGTGAATCGTGTTAATTTGCATTGTTAAATAAATACAATTAATTGTTAACAATACAAATTTACACTAATGTTCCACCACATTTGTTTTAATTAAAATCAATTAAATTTTTATTTAAACTTGACATTAAATTTCATTCGTTTAGTTTGAAAATAAATCTGGGAATATTTAAAAATCCATTTTTCGTTTTGTTAAGTTCTTTTGTAATTAATTGGGTGTTAAATTGTTTGTTAGTTTTTAACATTAATAACATATTTTGGAAACAATTGATTTTAGTTGGAAAAATTTGTTTATTTCAAGAAAAAAAGTCCGTGAATTAGTTAAAAATATTGTCTAATTAAAAAAATAAATATATATAAATTGATGTGTAAAATAATGAAATGAAAGTGTTTAAAATTTTAAGGTTAATCACGCGGAGAACCAGTAGGAGTATGTCACGAGTTCAATTTATTTGATTACTAGCAGGTCATCGCACGAATAATTTGTTTAAATCGAATATATAACAATTCGTTAAATACTAAGAAATATTATCTAATTAAGCAAAAATTATACACTGAATGTAGACTTATTGATGTATGAAATAAAAAGTAAATTAAAGTGTTTAAATATTTTAAGGTTGATCACGTCGAGACTAATAGGAGAGTGAGTGTGTTTTGAACATAAGTTCTTTCAACATACACGTGTAATATTTGTTTATTAATATCAGGTGATCGCCACGAACTAGTTCTTTAAAATTATATTTAAATAAAAGCCAGTGCTTCATATTCATATTCGTATATGTATGTATGTAGGGTATTCTTAAAACAGTTTAAACTTTGACATGCAGATGAAAAATCATTTTAAAATTTAACTTTTACAATATAGATGGATATTTTATTCGATTTTCATATATTTTTTTAAAATCTATTTGTATAAATTTTGATATTACTGGTTTGTTAGTTTTACCGTCGGACGGACAGACATTTAGTTAAAAATTTCATTTTGGAAATTCGTTTACTTTGAATATCAAACAGATCCGATCTTTGATGAATATGAAGAAACAAAATTACCGATGGACCTTTTCCCTGAGTCCTATCGTTAATTCATTAAAGTTAGACATAACAAATAAGCAAATGGACGGACAGACTGATGGGTACTTTAAGATCACCTTAATGTTTTCCAGAATAAACAAATTAAAATATACGTTATCTAGTACCTTTCGCTTTGGATTTGTCGCACACGACAGACGGACAGACGTTTTAATAAATGTATTCCTGATTGTTCTGATAATTGGAGAAAATTTCATCCTTCCCCTTAGTCCTAGTACCAGACAGACGGACATTCACTCGGATAGTCTGAGGGTTCGAAACGACAGATATATGTACATATATAGATCTTCTTAGATATTTTCAAGGTGACTGAATATATTCACACACTCTGAGGTATAAAAAAAGGGATAAGAACAACAGGAAAGTATAGTCGGACATGGCCGATCCTCAACAAATTAGCAAGAGGGATGTATTTTTATATAAAGGTTAGTTATGCTGAATTTAATCGTGATACTAATGGTTATAAGTAAATTTTTGGGCGTTCAAAATATTTTTTTAAAGGGGGGTTTGTATGGGGGCTAGGTTCGAACAAAGACCGATCATTATAAAAATTAGCATGATCATTTATGCCTATATAAAACATAGTTGTGCCATTTTTTGGTGAAATAGTAGTATATTTGAGTTAAAAACCCTAAATCGGAAGGTAAGGTTGTATGGTGGCTAGGTGAAATAATGGACCGATTTCAACTATTTTCAATAGGCATCGTCCTTGTAGCAAAAAACTCGTATGGTTTATCAAAGTATCTTGAGATAGTAGTATATTTGAGGTAGTTATGAGTTAAAAACCCAAAATCGGAAGGTCAAGTTGTATGAGGGCTAGGTGAAATAATGGAACGATTTCAACCATTTTCAATAGGCATCGTCCTTTGTATTAAAAACTAATATGGTTTAAATTTTATCAAAATATCTTGAAAATTGTGGCCTGTAGCTTGCGCAAAAGGTTTACATGGACAGCCAGCCAGCCGGACGGACGGATATGTCTTAATCGAGGAGAAAGAGATTCTGAGTCGACCGGTATACTTTAAGGTGGCTGTAGGACTAATATTTTTATGCGTTACAAACATCAGCACAACCGTATAATACCCTCCCCACTATGGTGGTGTAGGCTATAACAAGTAAGTGTGTCAAATATGGAGGGTAGAGTCCATTATGGACCTATCCTCATCGGATAGGATTATTTGTTACGAATTTCTGAATGAAACCGATAATCAGTTATCGACTGAACCTCATCAAATTCAAATTTCATTTCCTATAAAACTATCGTAATTTGTACGAACTTTTGAGCCATTATTGAGCGTTAAAGTCATTTTCTGAAGTGGATCTTATTAAACCGATTTTCATAAGCTTTTGTACATAAATTATGTTTAGTAAAAAAGTTGTTCATTTCGAAATTAATCGCCTCGTATTTTTAAGTAACTTGAGAGTTAACGTAATTTTTCTAAGTGGTCCCTAAATAGGGGGTGGGATCAGTTATCGATCCATCTTCATCAAAGTCGGTAGAAAGATTTCAGTTCACATAAAACTTGTTTATGTAGAATTTCATAGATTTACTGGAATTTTTATGCCAGTAATCTGTAAGCGTAGACCGATATTGCCCATTTTCAATACCAAACAAACATTATCTGTAAGTAATAATTGTCTACCTCCTTCCGTTCGGCCTCTATCGTGCTTTCAATAGACAGACGGACAGACATTGCTAGATCGTCTTTGTATGCCAGTAATCTGAAAACGTAGACCGATATTGCCTATTTTCAATACCAAACAAACATTATTTGTAAGTAATAATTGTCTACCTCCTTCCGTTCGGCCTCTATCGTGCTTTCAATAGACAGACGGACAGACATTGCTAGATCGTCTTACATCTTAGGTCTATGTCCAATATTTCGATGTGTTACAAACGGAATGACAAAATCAATATACCCCCCATCTTTTTTGATGGTGGATATAATAACTAAGATTGCTACTTTTTTATTTCATACATTAGTAACTAAGATTTCTATAAACAACTTCTAATATTAATGACATATTGGAAATTTATATTTTTTTTTCATTTGACAAGATTTATTCTTTTTAAATTATTTTTTTATTTGAAGAAATGAAAAGAAAATCAATTTCCCTATAAGAATTTAAAAAACCAACAAATATTTAAAAATTTTTATTTTTGATGTAGAAACACTTAAAACTAAAAACTTAAAAGATCACAACAAAACATAAAATTTTTTCATATAAATATAAAAATAAATTTTCATTTAAAATGAATACAAAATAGTAAAGTAATTAAGTTCACTATAATGTTGAAACAACAAAAAAAATATATTTAACATAAAATTGAAAATGAAAGTGACATCAGTATGATTTATAATGATCCATACAGGGTAAAACAAACTACAAAAAAAGAAGATCAAATAGTAAAATCGGAAACATGTGATGCTAAAAAATAAATAAAAAAATGAGCATAAAAAGTGCCTTCTTAATATTTTGCTCTTCAGATATTTTTATTTCCAAACAAACTAAATCCAACCACAATAAAAACAGCAAACATAAAAATAACGAACAACGAAAATTTGTAGATGAAATTTTACAAACCAAACAAATCGAACTAGAATCGAAAAGGGGATAAAAAGAGGAAAATCCTATAGAGTATAGTTTTGAAAACAAAAAATTAAATGTTTAATAATTTTTAAAATGCAAAAGCCTATAAAAAATAAACAAAATCTTTGCATAATCAATATAACAACGGAATTGAATTTCAAGTGTTTGTGTACAAAACAATATACAACGACGAAAAAGCGAAAATGCCACAGAGTTGCATTTTACTATAGTAATTACAAAAACGAACATTTCAGTGATATACAAAAACAACAACAAAATGATCAGCAACTACGCTTAACTATGGAAGTGTCACGAAAAAGAAAGTATCAGAAAATTTCAACTACGATACGATAATATTTACGCGATTAAACAAATTCTATATATTACTTAAAAAAAAACAAAAGAAAAACATTTTCTACAACAAATACAAAAACAACTTACAAAAATAAGATCGCCTTATATTTAGCATTAAAACGCTGATACATTTAATTAAATTCAACGCTCCTAGCACTAAACTTCACTTTCATTTTATAAAGTGAAGTTAGTCGGTTTACAATTGTTGGCGAACAATGTTAGATATATTCCGTGGATTGAAAAACCTTATAAAGGTCACTCACGTTAAAACCGATTCACCAGTATTTCGTTTGCATTACTCTATAACTGTGATGATATTGATGTCATTTTCCCTAATTATAACCACACGTCAATATGTTGGTAATCCCATCGATTGTGTTCATACTAAAGATATTCCAGAAGATGTTCTCAATACATATTGTTGGATACATTCGACATACGCGCTTAAAAGTTATTTTAAGAAAAAACAGGGCGTTTCCGTACCGTATCCGGGCATTGGCAATTCCGATGGGGATTTGCATGAAAAGAAACACTATAAATATTATCAATGGGTGTGTTTTTGCCTATTTTTTCAGGTGGGTTTTTTTCATTATTTGTTTAATTTATTTATTTAATATTATGAGAATTTGTAAAAGATTTAAAGACAATTCAATTACATATATTTTATGTAGAATATGGTACAGAACAAATTTGGGGCAAGTACTGGTAGTACAGAACATTTCTGAAATTTTTTTCTGTGTTAACATTTAGCTACCTGATACATGATTATATTAAATACCTAGATTTTTTAATCGCTAAAATAAATATATTTTTATAAACAAACTTTTTTTCGATAAAACTAAACAATATGTCATTTAATTTTACCTCCAAAATCAATTAGACTTAAACAATTGTAATCGACCACCTAACTGAATATTTACGTTCTCTAAATGTTCACTAATTTAGTTTTTTTTTGTTCCCATTTTTCCTAGCCAAGGTCCCTTTTTGGACACATGTTCTAAAATAAATATACAATAATTATGTTTTTAACATTTCATTGTTAAAATAATAATAATATATAAACCACAAAATCCCCATATGCTAAAAAAACAAACATATCGTCGTCATTAAACCAAACACCTCCTCATTTATTGTATACTGTTGTTCATCATCATAATCATCACCATCGGTGGCACCAACTAAATATCCAAAATGACATCGAAATATTGCAAAAATATTTAAGCTTGACAAATGCCATCAAATCATACAAACAAATTTTGAAATTGAAACCTGTCAAATTATAATGATTAAAACAAAAATAGATTTGTGCGAAAGAAAGAAACAAACAACTACAATATTCAAATTCATTTAACGTCACACATTTCATAGAAAAATAAATATTAAAATAACAATATTTCATTTAACTTAAATTATACAAATTTTTGGATATTACAAACAATAACATTAAGAAAATCATTTTAAATTTGTTTTTTTATATTTTTGTCACACATTTTTTTGGTGAAAATGTTTTCCAAAACATCAGGTGGTATTTACAGAGTACTGAACTGAAAATTCTTTATTTTCTTATTTATTACTGAGTGATGGTTTTGGTCATTATTTTCAAATTATTTTTAAGTATGTGTCACATCTATAAACACTAAGAAAATTATGTATATTTTTTTTACATCAGAATGCCATGAAAAGAAAAACATATACATATGTTCGTAATCGCACAGAATCATATTATAGCTAATACTTTATTATGGGGGATAGTTGCAATAATGAACCGATGTTCGATAAGATCATGTAAGATTGCGAGCTTGCGAACTGTAGTTTGATTACAAGGTTTACATGGACGGACATTTATTTATATATTTATAAATTGACCTTTTTACCTTTAATATTTAACTAATTTTCTAGATAGGCCCGTTTGCTTTTTTGTTAATAAAAGCGCTAATTTTGCTCGGAGGTGTCCAATTTTTGTTGATTGTAAATAGTAAACTTCTTAAAAAAGAATTATCCAAGATTTCGATTCCAAAGATATCTAAGATCTTCACAGAATTGATTTAAAAGATATACACGGACGGACGGACATTGCTACATTGACTTCTATATATTAAAAATCAAAATATATCGTCATCTTTATATAATAAAAGCGAATTTATAATTTCTATTTCCAAATCAAAAAATTGTTGGATTAATTAAATAATAACTTTTTAATAAACACTTTAAACTGCAATAAAAAATTTCATTCATCTTATCTATCGGTTCTAAACAAGATTTCTTTTAGCTTACGAAAAATATAAAAAAAATCTAAAGGCTACGATTAATGCTAAATAGACTCTACTATCAATCTATACATATATAAGTATAAAAGAGTTGCGTTACTGACTGATTGATGCATCATCGCACAGCCCAAACGGCTGAACCTAGAATCATTTTGACAGTAGATGTGTTATGTGGATCCACTAAGGAGGGAATTTTGGAAATTTGTACATTTAGGGGTAAAAAAGGGGAAAAACGGGTAAAACAGGATTTCTTAATTATCTTACCCAATATTAGTGATACAAGAAAAAATTTAAATGGATCTGTATCTACTCTTAAAATAAGCAGATGGGTGTCCGATACTTTTTTAAAATTAAGGGTGAAAATGTGCAACAAAGGTGATTTTGGTACCTTTTTTGGAACTTTAGATAGTCTTAACTAATAAACATTTAGTTTTTGTAAATATTTTGAATATATTTTCTAAAATTATGAGACACCTGTTTTGTAGTTTTTAAAATTCAGTCCTTTTTTGGTGTAAAAGGGAGAAAACGGTATTTTTGGTACTTTTTTAATCACAAAGAAAACTTTTTCGATTTATTGACGTATACCTATTAAATTACGTACTAACTCTGTAATATTTATTGAAATGAAATATTTGCTATTTCACTGGGGAAAAAAGTATCAAAAAGGGGAAAAACGGGAAATTTAATTTTATTCAAATTCATTGAGCCAATTTTTATAAAATTTTAAAAAGTAGTTTATTTGCTCTCACGAAATAAGCTATTGGTATATTATTATAGAATTATAGAGTACTAAGGGCTATATAGGACCAAATTCGAGTGAATAGTTTGGTACTTTTTGAAAGCACATTTTTTCTGGAACAAATGAATGCAGATTTGAATCGTTTGTGTTGTTTAGATTTAAATACGGAACATTTTGTAAACTTAATTCTAGAAAAAATATTTCTAAGCGAAGAGGGGAAAAAATGTATTCTTTTTATTAGCATTTTCCACTAAGGTAGAATTAATTCCACTTTTGGTACTTTTTCTTTCTTCAAATGATACTCTTTGTTTGTTCTATAAAATTTATTCAAAATACATGATTATTAAACATACACGTTCTTTTTTGAATAAGATTCTTTAAGATAGAACTTTTTAGTACTTTTTATAATTCAATTACTACTTTTTGAATTTTGTAAAATATTCAACCTGGAAGTATACATTTGAACATGCATGGAACCCACTGAATAATAATCTATAAGTGGGGACTCTTTGGTACATTTCCATTCTTCAAATGGTACCTTTTGGATTAAATGAGAATTTTTTGAGAGAGATCTTCGTACATTTTCGTTTTTCAGATGGTACATTTTACCGTTTTTACTATATTGAATATAGAAATATAAAATTTAACATGTGGAGACCTGAGTCATTGAGAGTCTAAAAAAGGGGACTTCTGGTACTTTTTCGTTCATCAAATTAGATTTTTTGAATTTTCTATAATATTTAAAACAGAAATTTACAATTTCAGAATCACTAAGAGGTAATTTTATAGTACTCTTTCCTTCTTCAAATAGTACTTTTGAAATTTTCTATAATGTGGAAGCTTAACGAATGTAAATAAAAATACACACTCCTTACTGAATGCGAATTTTTTCACGTGATAAATTTCGATAATATTAAACATATAGAACAGAAATGTATTTAATTTTAGTTAGGGTAGCGAAGCAGCCAGGGTATTTTAGTTTCATATAAATTAGTATTTATAAATATAAAAAAAATAAATCTACACAAGACATTTTCCAAAATTTAAACTATATTTAAACTTTTTCTATAACTCAATAGATTTTATAAAATAAATACTCTTAAAAATATTTTCATATATATTTTTTTTTTAATATCCATTTTGTATATTATTCTTTTAATTCAATATTAAGATAATACGTTACACACGAACTATATAAATCAATCAACAATTTTGAAAATTTTAATCCAAAAATAAATTAATAATCAACAGCAACAATAAAATCAACAACTATAACATATGTACGATGATGATAATGAGTACATCATTGAATTGAAGATTTATTGCTATAGTTTTTCTCAATGAAATCTACATTTTTCATTTCAAATAAAGAAAAAAAAAAACTTAAAATTTTATGAAAATTAATTTGTTCGTAGACACATGTTTTTTCCATAATAGCGTTACGAGTATTTGTAAAATGGAATCGAAATAAACAAAACATTGTTAACACTAAAAAACGACACAATTTATAATAATAAAATTATATTTTATCACCTCATAAATTAAACATATAATTTGTAAAATAGTTTGGTATATCGATAACAAGCTTTGCAAGAAAAAATTTATAAAACGTATAAGCCGAAAAACTTCATAAAATAACCCTTGTTATCGTTAAACCTTCGATAACTATTAACAACTTGTCGCCCGATTGTATTCTTATTCATGCTATAAATTGGCTTTGAAATACAACATCATTTTAACTTAATAAATGTGATAGGTCCGTCTATGACGAGTCATTTAGGCGGTAAATATTCACATTATAATAAATTTATTTATAGCCAGACTCATGCGTCGATGTCTATTAAAATTTTGTGATGACACTTAGCGAAGCAGAACTAAATCAAAAAATTAAATAAAAAAAAAAAATAAAAGTGAAAATTTTTTAAATTTAGACAATCAACATCATGTTTTTTTGTCTTAAATTATTGTTGTTGTTTTGGTTTTCGTTTTTGGCATTGTTGGAACCTAAACAGAAATCATATGTTGTGTAATTCTTCCAAACAAAAAAAAAATATATATAGTTGTGACATTTTGAACTAGAAAAACTGTTTACGATGAGTGGGAGATCCCCTTGAGTAGCACATAGAGACTATAATCAGTGTGTTAATATTAGGCATAGATCATTATTATTAGGATTTATATACGGTCAAGGCCGACTAACTAATACCCTAAAGTTTAGCAATAGGCATTGAAACAAAAAATTTTGTATACAGTTTTTAAAACTTTGAGTTTTAAAGTTCAATTTCATATACATATTTAAATTTCTGGAAATTTGATAATATTTTAAACTCACAGATATGTTGATAATACCGAAAATAGCTCTCGATTTTAGATCCCAAGTGAAGCCGTAATATAATAATGTAATAAATGTTATTACTTATTGCTCGAAGCCTAACTGATGAGATCGAAATATATTCCAGGGCACGAACATTAATCGGCAGACCTTCAAAAATGAACAACAACTTAGCAATTCTGGTAACTGTTGTTCAACTAGTTCAACTAGTTGTTCAACGAATTTCCGGTTATTCCA